CAAAAAAAAAAAAAAAAAAAAAGTCTTTTCTTACTCCCAGAATACAAAGATGTTCATTTATGTTCTCTTCTTCTTCCTTCTTCCTTCTCTCCCTACTCCTCTTTCTTCCAATTGGAGTGCAGTGGCACCATCACGGCTCACTGCAGCCTCAATCTTCTGGGCTCAGGTGATCCTCCTGCCTCAGCCTCCTTCCTGAGTAGCTGTGACTATAGGCACATGCCACCATGCCTGGCTAATTTTTTAATTTTTAATTTTTTGTAGAGATGAGGTCTCACTATATTGCCCAGGCTGGTCTCAAATTCCTGAGCTCAAGTAATTCTCCTGTTTCAACTTCCCGAAGTGCCAGGATGACAGGCATGAGCCACCATTGCCAGTCTGCCTGTGCGTCCTTTTATTAGCTTTGCGGCTTCCACATTTCAGTCTTCCATCTGGAATGTCCTTATGCAAAGGGTGTGAGAGACCAGCCTCTTTCCTCCATATAGTGAGCCAGTTTTCTCCCAACACAATCTATCAAAAAGTCCATTGTTTCCCCACTTATAAAAATAGATGAGGATAATAAGAACATCTTCTCTACTTAACCTAAGGGTTTTTATGAGATGTTGGTGTGAACTGGCTTTCTAGCCTGTAACTTTCAATACAATGTTAATTATTATTGCAGCTTAATTGGTGGCCATGTCAGCTCTTTTCTCTGAGAGCTCTTTGGGAGCTTTAGTTTGACTTCGATGGGATTCTGGAAGCATGCATCACTGTAATTTTGGTTTGAGGCAAAAGAGAATCTTCAGTCCCCAACTTTAGCCCTGGCCTCAGAGATAACAGCCTGGATATCATGTCACACAATCCTGGGAAAGTAACTTGACCTCATGGCTCCAGTTTCCCCTTTAAGGACAGGAGAGGAGCACCTCTATCTAGACCCTGTTCAGTGTCTGCCAAAGGCTTAGCTTCCAGCAAGAGAGACGTCACTGTAAACACCTGCTCTTACTCGTAGATAGCAAACAGAAGGCACAGTGAATGGACAGGAGAGTTTCATTAATGCAGATTACACACGGACTGCCAACTTTCAGGGAATAAAAATACTTGGCTAATAAACAGAAGTCCATTTTGCTATTTGCTGATTCTGTGGCCAACCTCTCTAAGCTTCTGCTTCTCCACTTGTCGAATGGGATGGCAAGAGCATCTTTCTTCATAGTTCTGCTTCTCCACTTGTCGAATGGGATGGCAAGAGCATCTTTCTTCATAGTGCAGGAGCCAGCAAACAGTTCTGTAAAGGCCAAGGAGCAGACCTTTTGGCTCTGTGGGCCTGTGGTTTTAATTGTTAGCACTTAACTCAGCCGGTGCAGAGTGAAAGTGGCCAGAGACAGTACGTAGATGAAGAGACTCGACTGCTGCTCTAATGCACTTTGTTGATGGACACTGAAAGGGCAACTTCTTGTCATTATTTACACGCCACAAAACATGGTTGTTCTTCTGATTTTTTTCCAATGACGTCAAACCATACACAGCTAGAGGACCCTTCCAAAACAGGTGGCAGATGGGATGTGGCCCTTGGGCAGCAGTTTGTCAAACCCTGTTACAGAGCTTCTGGTAGGGATGCGTGAGGTTCACAATAAGGGCTCTGTAAATGTTAGCTATGACCATCCTTATTATGACAAATGGTTTAGGTGAGAAACAAATTCACAGTTATGGATGAAGTCTGGCTCCAGACAGTATGGGCTGAAATATGCATGCACAGGTCTGAAAGAAATATGCACGCAGGCTAACAGTTATGATGTTAGGATAACACGATCCAGTTTGAGTGGTTTCCTTTTTCTTTTTCTTTTTTTTTTGAGTTGGAGTCTTACTCGGTCGCCCAGACTGGAGTGCAGTGGCCGCTCCCAGCCACCGCAGCCTCGACCTGCTGGGCTCCGGCGATCCTTCCTCCTCAGCCTTCCGAGTAGTGGAATTACAGGCATGCGCTACCATGCCCGGCTGATTTTTTGATTTATTGTAGAGATGAGGTCTCGCTGCCCAGGCGGGTCTCGAACCCATGGGCTCAGGCAATCCACTCACCTCAGCCTCCCAAAGGCGCGGGATTCCAGGCTGAGCCACCGAGCCCGGCTCAGCAATGAGCATTTAAATGCAGTTGCTAGTGGAAAGTCCATCTCACTGTGTGGGTAAAAGTGTGTTTTGCGTTGTTGTTACTTTGTATCTGTACCTCAATGTCATAGGTTTAAAGGAGTAACCCCTAATTCTTCCTGCTTGGCCTCAGTCTTTCTCCATGTGATTCTTTAATTTGTTTTGGAAAGGGAGGGCAAGTGAAAATGATGCCAGTCAGGGTGAGAGTTTAGTCTTTGGATGAGAGCATTTCTTATACAAAACGGGGACACAATTTATGTCGGATTATTATTATAGTGTCCTGGAAACAGTAAGTTGAATTTAAGGATACAATTATTGAGAAATGACTTTAAAAAGAAGGAGATGCACTTGAATATTGGAAACAGTAGCCAGGAGGGACCGGAAGCAACGGTTCCAGAGGCAGGGCCTTCTCCTGCCTTTATTTCTGATACGTGTCCTGTGGGGTTGCTGTTTCTTTCCATTGTTTCCCAGTTGCAGCCACACACCTCCAGGGCTGGAAAGCGGACTTGCCAGCAGGCGCACTCTGGGCATAGAGGGGTTTTAGTCCAGAATTCCAATTGCTCCAGCTCGCCTAGTCTTTGCTCTGGTCACACCAGATCCTGCTTCCCGATACACACTGATATGCCACATCCTGCAACCCCATGGAAACTGTTAAGAAGGAAAGCCTATTATATAGATAGACCCCTACATCAGAGATAATCTGTTTTGTTTTCTTCCCTATAGCAGTCAAAAAAGAAATGCCATGAGAATAGACAAAAGAGACTTTCCATTTTAGGAGAGCAAATGCAATTTGTAGCAAGAGCCAAAAGTGTACTTACTACCCTTTGAACCACTTCTGGCATACAACCAAGCCGAGATTTATTATACAATAAAAAAGATAAATGTGAAAATAAACTTAAAATGCTCAATAGTTGGAGAATGATTAAGTAACCCAGAATTATAAATTGACAAAATATTATGGAGTCATTTAAAAAGATATGGACAGACTATGAAAATACACTATAAAATTTGTGTAAAATATCAAGTGCCCTGTATATGTATAATTGTATCACTGATTTCAAAAACACAAAAAATAGGTAGCTATATAATATCGAGGAGACGATTTCAGGAGACGTTTGAGTATAGCTGGTCTACACTGTGTGTGGGGTTTCTTTGGGGAGAGGTTTTTTTTTTGGTAGACTTCGAAGGAGCAAAATGCCCTGAGTACCCACATATCACTTGAGCTTTCTTGCCCTCTCTTTTTAAAACTGTGGCCCCCAAAGGTGGCCTGAACCTTCTACGTGCCCATTTTCTCTTTTTATGTCCCCGAGGAAATGCTTTTTCCCCTTCTGATAAGCAGTATGAACCCGTTCGTTCAATAACCGAGCTTAAATTATGAGATCACCAGTTACTCACTCCTTGGCGCGCCCACGCGCTTCCTTCCGCGGGAGTTCACGGCTACTCAGGGAAGACACACTCCCCCCCGTCTTCCAGGAGCCAGCTGCGCTGTCTTGAGCGACGTCCGACATCATCACAGCCTGGGGAAGAAGACTTCTGTAAATAGCAAAAGATGGTCTGGAAGCATCGTCTCAAATAAAGCACACCGACACTGTCTCCGCCATTTTCGAATGGGAGGTAGGATTTCCTCGGGAGCAACGCACAGGATATAATCTTTGGTTCAGTAAAACCGGAAATATGATAACTCTAGAAACGGGTGTGCAGCAATAGACTTAACTCGCATAAGCAGATAGGAAGCTCTGGCAAAAATGCTTAAGGGGCGAAGAGGGAGGTCCTGGATAAAAGGTGGCCACGGGCAGAAGATGCTACCGCACAGCGGACGCCAATAGCTTCATAGGTCTCTATGTTTAATATTAATACAAGTTTGCCGGTTAATATTTGTATATTTGTTGTGGCTGTTACTTTAAAAATTAGCATTAACTGTTTTCCCCAAAAGGTTTTTTTCTTCTTCTCATGCGACCGTTATTAACTTTGCCAAGAGCAACAGGACTTAACTTTTGAAAGAGACCTTTAGGGAGACCGCTCTCCTTACCAGCGCTTGTCAGAGAGCGGTAGAAGCAACAGGCTTTCCAGAACTTCGACCGTGCTGCCCGCCCCGCCCACCGACGCACCTGGGGGTCCATTCGAATTCACCCGCGGTCTGCCGACCCGAGGCCCGGCGAGCGGCCTCGGCGCGGCG